GTGAGCCAACGTAAATCGAAGGGAATAAGTACATTACTGGGACAAGACGTTCCCGGTACAAGACAAATGAGTCGTCGCATTCACGAACAAAACAAAGGTGAAACTTATGCGAGCGCAACAAGGCGCGACAAGACGCGTCAACGGTGCGACTAGACTGTCCGCCCGGAACACGGCCGAGGCTCGCACCACGCTTGCCTCGCCGTCCAAACTCCAACAACGATAGTGTCTGAACCCTCCCATGCATGGCCCAAGTTCAAGGATGCCGATCCGTACAGGCGATGGTATGGTATTATATAAGCATAAAATTACTCTTTGGGGATATAGACGCCCAGATCACGTGCCGTGGCAGAACTGGTACGGCCATTTTTGCCAGTTCTCACCCTATCGAGAATCCCCTTTGGGGATCGCTTCCTCTGTTCAATTCCTTGCAATTCACACAAAATTGACCGAAATCATGAATATCTGGAGGACTTATAACACGGCGCCTAACGGCGTACAAAAGTGGAGGTGTTTACTAGTGTGACCCCAGAAGCTACGGATTAAGCGCCTGACCCCAGAAGCTACTGACACGCCTCCAGTTCTCGCATTTCCCTGTCAAAAAGTGTGCACGGGTTACACGCGAGAAGATGTACTTCAAAAATATCATTGTAAAAAACAAAGAAGGAAATCGGAAGGGATTTGCTCCCGATACAAGTCAATCTCAGTAGGGTTTCAAGGGTTTACTGACCTTGGTGAGCTGCCACAAAAAGATCTGCAGCGCCGATCTTTCTGTAACTTCGCAAAGTGTTCTGAACATTCTCAATAAACTTTCTTGTTCAGTCTCCGAAGGGTTCCGGGTTGCAGTATTCGAAAGATAGGAAGAGGTCTCTCGAGCGTGACATTCAGCCACTGACCGAGATAAAGCTGACTTTCAATCTGAGCGCTTCGACAATGTTGCCCCGGCCAACTTCGCTATCAAACGACTGATAACAGCGGTGTTTGAATCGGCAGTCTTCGGCATT